TCTAATGATGACAACAGTAGCTGCCATTTAATAGTCCCACATGTCAGGCGCTAGATACTTATATTATCTCTAAAATCCATACCAACCCATTTTACACATGAGAATGCTGAGGTTCAGAGATTCAATAACTTGACCAAGGCCAGGCTGTCCCTCTGAGAGTTCCCAGAAGACTTTCCTCTCCTGCAGGTGTGGCCATGTGACCCTCCTCAGAGCTGCAGGATTTTGTGGCACCACAAGGCCCCCATCTCTGGTGGCTCAATGGCCTTTGTGGCTACTCAACTTAGTGGCCGGAACCCCCTCCCACCACCAGAGTAGAACAAACCAGATGCACCTGGAATGCAGGAGCGTGACCCAGGATGGCCCGTTAGCAGCTTTGCATCCTAAAGAAGTGACACTGAGTGAAATGTTAGAGCAGCTCCAGTGGTGACAAGAAGTAGCTAGAATTAGCTCCCGTGCAAGACCCTGTGTTGACTATTGCCTGACCTCTACTGATTCTAGCCAGCTTGTTTTTCCAGCCTCCCCAGGGAGGAAGAGGGCCTATGAGCAAGAAAAAAATCCTTCCAGTGCACGCCTTTTCTGCCTCAGTGAGCTGAATCCCCATCTGTTGCTTGCAGCCATGATTTCTGACTGGTACAGCTTTTCATGTGCTATTCAATATCTCAGGCCCAAATATTTACTGCGTATTTTCATGCCAGGGAATGAATTCCTGAGCACTCAATTAAATTCTCACATAGGAATATTAATTCTCCCTTCCTTTGCCCAGCTCTGGCTAACATATGAAAATAGGATTTACTATACAAAATACCAGTTTAGAGACAACCATAGATTTAGTCAGCCGAGAGCAAACTTAGACCCAATCCTTGCTTCAGGAGCCATATCTTCCTTAAAGAAAACCCTGCCCCTGATTTGGAGAAGTGTCTTGGCTTTCCCACAGATGCTAAGCAAGCTCCTCTTGGGGACAGCTGGCTGGCCACTTGAGGACTCATGGTTTCTCTGAGGGAGAAGAGAGGAGGGCAGCTGCTCTGCACACAGACACTGCCAATTGCAACGTCACCCTCTGGGCAGCCGGCCCATTGCCCCAGGCTTGCTCCCTCCTGTGCATTCCTCTGTGCCCTTCCAGCCACCAAAGGTGGAGACATCCATCCTTCTTTCAAAGCCAAAACTTCTCATTCCTGCTCCTCTAGCACCTTCTCTACTGGCCAGCCCTTCCGTCTCCCGGACTGAATCCTTCCCGTGACCCCATATATCTCATTTGTCTTTTCCATCCTAAAATCCCCCCCTTTACCCTGTCTTCCTACAACGGCAGCTCACTCTCTCTCCTGACCTTCTCAAACAAGCTTCTTGAAAGAGTTGACTGTCCTCCCCATCTCCACTTCTCTCTCTCTCTCACCCATCAGCAGCCTAGCTTGCCTGCCTTCCACTCCACCCAAAACTGCTCTCAGTGTATTCCAGTAACCTCCAAATTGCCCAATGCATATTCCAGTCCTTATCTTCCTAAACTGCTCCACATCCCACATCATTAGCATAGAACTAAATTCTTTATCTCCCCCTCCACCTCCAACATTCCTTTTTACACATTCTGTCAGCTAGTGGCACCATCATTCATCCAGTGACCCATGACAGAAAGCTAAAATGAGATAATGAATTCTGTTCTGGACTTGTTAAGCTTACCGTGCCTTAGAGACTTCCAAGAAGAGATGCCCACTGGGCAGTTAAACATGAGGCCCCAAAACAGAGGTCTGAACTAGAGATAAAGATGATCGTTACAGAGGTAGCAGAATGAGTGAGCACGAATGAACCTGCCTAGTTTATAGAGTACAAGTCTTAGGTCTTTGAATCCCAGGTGGTACATAGAGAGCTCGCCTGAGCACAGAAATTTCTACTCCTAAGGTCACAATTCCATCCACATTTGGTTCCTTCCTTCTCAAGTGCTGGCTCATAATGGCCTCCACACCATCATCTTATTCCACATTCTGCCCCTGCTCATGTCGTCTTCTCCAACAACTCTTAAAATTCCATCGTAAAAATAGAAGGTAGAAGGTACCACTACCCAGTCACTAAAATGGCTAAAATCAAAAGACTGACAACACCAAATATTGTCAAGGATGTGGAATAATCATAAGTCTCGTATATTACTGTGGGAATGTAGAATGGTATACTGCAACAATTTCACTCCTAGGTAAAAAAAAAAAGTCCACAAAAGAATTCTATAAGAAATAATAGCCCAAACTGGAAATAAACCAAAAGTTCATCAACAGGAGAATAAACAAGCAAATTGTGACACATCCATACAATGGAATACTACTCGGCAATAAAAAAGAATAAACTACTCACATAAGCAACAATACAGATGAATTTAAAAAACACTATGTCGAGTGAAATAAGCCAGGCATGAAAGAGACATACAGTATGAAAGATACATGAAAGAGACATACAGTATGATTCTGTTTATGTGAAGTCCAAGAACAGGCAAAATTCATCAATGTGATAAAATCAGAAACCAGTCGCTTGGAAGAGCAGAAAGAAAATTAATCGGAAACGGGAACTTCTAGGATGATGCCAGTGTTTTATATCTCATTTTCGGTGGTGGTTATACAGGTGTAAACAACTGTCAAAACCTGTTGAACCAAACATTTAAGATCTGTGGGTTTTGTGGTATGTAAATTATACACTAATTAAAAATTAGAAAAATAAAATATTTTAAGTATCTATAAAATCAACCCTAAAATAAAAAGAAAATGCAAGGCAGAAAACACATTCAAATAAAATTATATTTATACTGTGGATGTACCAATATGAATGCCCAGTCCCTGACTTAACGCTGTCTCCTTTCAGCTGTCCTCCTCTCACCCTTGCCCCCAGCTTGATGACAACTGTCCATTAGCCATTTTCTAGCCATCATGAGAGATGAGGTAATGGAAAGAGCACAAGCCTTAGAGCCAGGCAGAGCTGCATTCAAATCCCAGCTGCGATTTAAGAGCTGAGTGCCCATGAGTGAGCTACTTGGCCTCTCTGAACCTTCATTCCTCAACTAGAAAATGGGTTAGTGATATCCACCCTACCCTGTTGGGCTGGGCCAAGAAAGGGGCAGTGTGCTGACCAGCTCCTGGGGAACCTAATTCTTTTTGACCTCAGCCTGTGAAATTAACTCATATCCGAGGGTCCCACGAAAGGCCTGGAAAAGCTCAGAGCATGAGGAGACTCACCAGCTTCTTCTCTCAGAAGGGTAAGGAGGTGGCCCTGGGGCCCTGGAGTTAGATCTAAGTGAGCTGGGGCTAAGAGCTGCAGAAATGTCTGCTCAGAGCCACCATGGCCAGGGCAGGGGGGTCTTGGCCTGTGACCTAGGAGACAGGTGTCCTGGTAAGGTTCGGCTGCTAGAGGATCTTGCCCAAATCACTTTGCACGCCTGACTCAGTTTCTCCACTGAAAATGATCAGATCAGCCTAGGTTTGAGGAATTGGATATCAAAAACAGTCTCTGGGGTTTCCCGATAAGTAGAAGAGATAAAGGCAGATCTGAACTGAAAGAAGGAGGGGAGGGTCAGAGCCCTGCCCCCAGGCTTCCCTCCCCCACCGTGGTGGCCCCTGAGGCAGGATCCTGGGCCCCTCAGGGGCACAATTTGAAATCTCCTGGACAAGGTAAACCTTAGGGACTCTTTCAGCTCTGCCTTCAGTCACTGACCACCTGTTACTTGTAACGCTATCTGAGATCTGCACCTGCCCCCCCCCCATCTGGTAGAGGAGGCAAGGTGCTCAGAAATAAAACAAGAGAAAGCGCTTAGGGTAGCCAAGGTGGCACAAAAGTGCAACAGAATAACCATATCCTCTTCCGGCTGCACCCCCCCCCCCCCCACACACACACCCCCACACAAGCCCCTCCACACTTGGCATCTCCTTACCCTGAGCAGGATCCCTATTTCATAGTTGTGGAAACTGAGGCTCTGCCTGGGAATGTGTCTCCCAGCTAGGAGGCGGCCAGGCCAGGGCTCCCCGCCCCATCTCCTGCCTCCTGAGACACACCTATTTCCAGGTAAATGAAGGAGGCAAAGAGGACGGCTCAGGAGGCAGGAGGAGTGCAAAGGACCAGCAAAGCCACGCAAGCAATCGCCTGGGGCTGGGTTCCTTCCTGGGGGCGGAGGGGCGCTGACACCCTGCGCGCCTTCCCCCTCCCTCACGCTGGCCAGCGAGATTAGGGAATCACAGGTCGCTCTGCTTTCTCTCCTCGCGCGCTGACATTTCTTCCCACTTTACTGTTTCTTGGACGCCTTTCAAGAGTTTGTGCAATCATGCTGTTTTTCTGCCATTTTCAAACACGGGTGGTGTCCTTTTCGAGTGGGAACGGGGTGGAGTGAAGAGTTGAGAGACACTTTCGCCTCCCATCACCCCAGTGCAGCAGGCCTTTTTGCCGCCAAAGTTACAGCGTCTGAAACTTTCCCCATGCCAGGTTTTTGGCTTGGTCCTCCGCTCTCCGAGCTCTGTGACCGCTCCCCCTCTGTGCCCCTGCTCTCAGGGGTTCGTACGCCCCTCACTACACCCTCCCAGGCTCCTTCTTCCCAGAGGCATCCTGTTCCCATCTTGTCCTCAGGCGAGAGCCATTCCTCCGTTCTGCCCCACAGACGGGGACAGACCCCTCATTCCTTCTGAGACTTCCTTGCTGGGTCTTACCCCGTCCCCCGCCCCCCTACCCGAGCCTCCCGTCTCCTGCCCCCGCCCCACAGACCCCGAGGGGAGACCTCGGCCCGCAGCCTCGGGCCCGAGTCTGGAAGGCTGGGCAGAGGCAGTGACGGGGACAGGATGGGGACAGGGGCTGGGTCAGCTTTGGGCACAGACACAGCAACACGAACAAAAGCAGGGACACAGGCAGGGCAGCAACAGGGCAGGGCCGGGGTGATGGCCAGCTCCCCTCCCCCCCGCCATCCCTACCCCTCGCCCGCAGCCCCCGGGCCGGGGCCCCGCTCCTCGCGGCCTCCGGGGGTTCGGGCGGCGCCCCGCGGGACCCACCTGATCCGCAGAACCCGTGCGCGCTCGAGTCTGGACCGCGCCTCGGCTCCCGGCCCCGGCGGCGCCCTCGGCTGCCCGCACAGTGGCCGCGCCGCCTCCGCCCGAGCCCGGCGGTGCGTGCCGGGGCGGGGGTGCCGCTGCGCTCCGGCCGGCCGGCCGCCGGGCGCTCCTCGGGGCAGCGGGCAGCGCGAGCGGGCACGGGCGCCAGGGAGCCGGCGAGCGCTCGACAGCCGGTGGCGCGCTCCCCGCTCTGCGCGGCCGGCGGGTGTTTGTGCAAAGGCGGTCCCGCCCCGGACACAGCCAGCGGGGAGGCCGGCCCGCGGGTGCGTGAGCGCGGGTGCGTGTGTGTGTGTGTGTGTGTGTCTGGTGGCGCGGAGGCGGAGGGGATGTTTGTTTCATTTTCACTGAGGCAGAAAAAAGCCTGAAAGCAGCAAAAAAGAAAAGAAAATCCCTGGCGAGGGTAACTGGGCCTCTTTGCCTTCTCGGGCCTGCACGTGGTGGGGGTGGGGATGGGGGGGACCCGGAGCGTTGGAGGGTGGGGTGCGGTCTGTCACCCTGTACTGCAGGGAGGGGCCTCTGTGCCCTGGCGCACTGCCAGACACTCAGGAAGCGGAGAGCCTGGGAGGTCTTGATCCACCATTTGTTTCCTGGGGAAGGAAGACGCAGATGTAGACAGCGACCAGCCGGCGGGCTCCAGCCACTCTGCCCCCAGCCCCGAAGTCCTGAGCTCCGGAAGTGAGGAGCTGGTCCCTGGGCACCTAGCGTGGGTCTTGCCCGTGCTTGTTCACAGACTTTGTGATCTTTGAGCCCGGAGTTTCTCAAACCGGATAACACACACCCCCTGGGGTTCCCTACTAAAATTCTTTAGAAGGGAACAACAACAACAAAAAAATCTGTTTCAGAGTTTGTGCTCCTGTGCCCAGGAGTTCGCTTCTGGTGAGCACATCCGGCTGCCCTCACTTAGCCTGTCCTACTCTGGTAACAACAGTCACGGCACTGCCACCCTTGGGCACAGGACCATCTATTTTGTCCGTGGAAATAAAATTTCCTTCTTCCAGGATCATTTGCCCTTGAATGTCAATTTCAGAGACTTAGAGATTAGCTTCTTAAGTATCTTAATGCATTGGAACTGTAATTTGACACCATGAAAATGGCACAGAACGCGGACCTGATATATAATTTTGTTTCTTGTGAGCAAGAAAAGAACAGAGGCTTGACTGACTGAATACTTGAAGGATGCCCAGAGGCTGCAGGGCCGGCCAGGTGATGTTTGGAGCCTGGGAGAAGGAAGTTTTCCTGTGGGTCTAGTGGAATAAAGTGGTGGGAGCATTGAATCATCAGCCCCACACAGCCGCTCAGGAATGAGGAGGTCCATGGCAATGAGCACAATGGGGCCTTTGCTAGAACATAAATTGCGCCATTATTGTCTTGATGAACACACTTGTAGTCGTTCATGAGTAGTATTACAGTAAATACACAATGAGCAATGTTATTCTAAGCACATTATTTCCCATTTTTCATTATTGCATTGGAGAATGCGCTGTCTAAATTGCTGGGCCCATCTAACTGGATTATAAAGGAGTTTTGGTTGGTTGGTTGTTTTTTTTAAGAAAACAATGACTGTAACTCTGACAATGGCTCAAGTGATGGCTGATCATGATCAAATCAGAAGACGCTGACACAGGAAACGGAAAACATGTAAACACATTACTCTGCTACCATTAAACTCGATGTCAGAGGTTTGAATTCAGCAACACGTCATCAATCGCATTAATTTAATGCTGTTCATTTGATTTTATTGGGTTTGTGGTTGCATTTGTATTTACTTAGAAGATTTGTTTTGGTTTTATGGGTAGTTTATAGAGCTATGAGCGTGAGGAGTTCGTGCTTAATTTTAGGTTTATACCTATTTCAGTAGCAATAAAGTAAAAGTAATTTAAGTCAGTACTGTGGGCCTGGAAGTTTTTTGGTTTTGTTTTCTTTAGAGAGAAGCTACCTAGTTCTCAAAATCTAACTAGCAATTCTATTGAATGGATGTCTCAGCTGGAAAACACCTTAAAGATTGTATATGTAAGATTGTGGGTCAGAAGTTCTAGATTTAAGGCCTTATATGAGTCATTCTTCCTCTTTGAGATTCATATGCAAAATGAGGATAAGATGACTAGCTCATGGGAGAGGTCGAATAAAAAGGGAGATAACTATTAATGAGAGGGCTTTGGAGCCTACAAGACCAAGGCAGGAGTGTAAGGCTGAATATTCATGGAGAGGCAGGGCAGGGCCAGTCAACACAGGCAGCTCAGGCTGCTTTCCAGGCTTTGCTCCAAGTGCTTCACACACACCTGAGCTCATTTAATCCTTAGCATGCCCTGTCACATGCCCATTTTCCAGGTCAGAAGGCTGGGGCACAGGCCAGTGGAGTAACTTTGTTCACCATCTCTCTAGGTATGGCCAAAGTGCTTCTGGGCCAGAACACCTTCCTTCCTATACTCTTTCATTCTTTTAACAAGTATTTATTGGCACCCTCCTATCTATCAGCCCCTGTTCCTCAAGCTGAGGACACCAAGGCAAATAAGCAAGACAGCATCATAGCCCTGAGGGAGTCTGCAGCCCAGATATGAAACCATGGACCAGCCAATTATTTCAGGACAATGTGATCAGGGCTCTGAGGGAGAAAGACAGGGCGAAGAGGACCCTGAGACTGGAAGAAGGAGGAGTTCCTCGGTCAAGAGTTGAGGGAGAGTGACCCAAGCAGAATCACGTGCAAAAGTCTCGAGGTAGAAGGAAAAGGACCCACGTGTCTGCTGGAAAGCTTCAACATCATCAAGATAGCACTTCTCCTCAAATCAACCGATCAATTCAAAACAAAACCCAATGGAGTTTTTGTGCACTTGATGAGCTGCTCCTAAAATTCATATAGAAGGGCAAAGGGTCAAATTTAATCAAGAAGGTTTTGACAAAGCAGGAAGGGGAGAGTTGGACACTTGTTTCACCAGATATTGAGACGTCCTGTGAAGCTCTAACAATGAATGCAGGGTAGTGTTGGTGCCGGCATGGATTGTTAGGCCAAGGGAACAGAATAAGGAGCCTAGAAAGAGACCACACACGTGTGGAAACTGAGTGTCAGGCAGAGGTGGAACTGCAGATCATTCGGGGAAAGAACAGACTATTCAGAGACTTGCTAGACCCAAAAGAATTGAAAACAAGTGTGCAAACAAAAACTTATACAGGAATGATCCTAGCATCGCTATGTGCAATAGCGAAAAAGTAGAAACAACCCACATGTCCATCAACGATGAATGGGTGAACAAAATGTGGTACATCCATACAATGGAATATTATTTGATATAAAAAGGAATAAAATACTGATTTATGCTACAACATGGATGAACCTTGGAAATGTTATGCTAAGTGAAAGAAACCAGACACAAAAGGCCATATATTGCATGATTCAATTTATATAAAATATCCAAAATAAGCAAACTCATCGAGACGGAAAACAGCAAAGTGCTTGCCAGCGGATGGGGGAGGGGAATGGGATTGTTGTTTAATGGATACACGGTTTCCTTTTGGGGTGATGAGTAATACTCTGAAACCAGACAGTGGTGATGGTTGCACGACACTATGAATGTAACAAATGCCACTGACCCATGCACTTAAAAACAGCTTAAGTGTTTTAAATGTGAATTTTGTGTTATATGGATTTTACCCCAGTTTTAAAAAGTGTTTCTGGGCAATTGGCTATCCATCCAAAAAGTAAAATAAAGTTAGATTCCACACACCCACCCCACATCATAGATGGGTAAACGACCTAAAGGAAGAGAGCAACTTTAAACTTTTAGAGAAAAATATCATTATTACCTCAGAAGAGGTGAGGGTTTAGTTAAACACACAAAACACAGCACTGACCATAAAGAAAAACATGGATAAATTTGACTACATCAGAATGCAAAACAAACAGGGAAGATATCACAACAAATTAATTGACCAACCAGGGAGCGGGAGAAGATGTCTGCAGCTTAGATAACTAAGAGAGGATTGGTTGTATAAGGAACTCTAGCAAATAAACAGGAAATCCAGAATATACAACGAATTCCTGCAAATAATTATTTACAGGAAATACTATTCTTCCGTTTTCACACCTGACTAAACTCCTAGATGAAATGTCCCTGCGTCAAGGTTCCAGTATGCCCGTTTCAGGGCACTTATAACTTATAACCCTGTGGACATAACTTTTTGTTTAGCAGCATGCCCCATAAGTCAATGGCCACATCTGTCCTGTCACGTCCCCAGCACAGCCCTGGCACACAAGTGACATGCAATGTCTGTATGTTGACCAAATGGAGCAAAGGGTGTATCGATGGCTAAAGAACACGTAATGAGATTCTTTATCTGCCTGCCTCATCTAGACGGTGAGCCAGCCTCCATCCTCTGGCTCCAACCTCCTCTCTGACCGAGGTCCCTTCTTCAAATCCTCCCTTGTCAGAAACACCGAGGCGAGGTGACCTCTGGTAGGCAGGGTTTGGAATGCGAATCCAGACGGCTTTTGGCAGGGAAAATTGCCTCCTTAAGGCCTTGGTGGGGAAGAGAAATGTCAACAAGGGTGGGCTGGGGGTGGGGGTGGCAACGGCAAGGTTCCCAGACTTTGATGAGCCTTTCCCACAGAAATACCAGATGACAGAAATGTGAAACTTTCCCAGAACTAGAAAAACACACAGCCCGGGAGCCCCGGGAGATGGCTAGTGGAAGCCCTCAATGTATGGATGAGGAAATGAGCTTCAGATGGGGAAGTGACTTCTTCAAAATCACCATCGAGGAATTTCCAGAGCTGGGTTTCATTCCCAGCTCTGTCACGTGCTCCTCAGCCCAACACAAGTGGAGAAACTCCCAGATCCAGAGGGGAAGGTATTTTAAAGTAGCTACTGGAAGTGGTAGAGTTAGTCAGGAAAGGCGGAAGGTGGATGCATGAGCTGAGTCTTGGAGGAAGTGGGGAGGAGAAGAGAGCAGCAGGAGGAGGGAGGGTTGGAGGTAACAGGCAGGGAGAGCTGCATGTGCAAAGGCACAGGGGAGCTGACAAGCAAGGGCCACACAGCAGGACGCTGGGCAATCAGCCCCAGGGCTCCAGGGGCCAAGCTGAGAGTCATAGCAGAGAAGATTTGAAGGGGAAGACCAGGGATTCACATTTTATCCTTTCCACAGAAGGGAGCTTCCAGAGGATCCCCAGGAGGCAGGGTGGCCCGATGGAGGTTGTGTCTGAAGAGATGACTGCCAGCCCTTCGATCACGGTCACTAGGGAAACATGAAGTTGAGAGGGAAGGAAATAAGGAAGGGAGAGAGTGCGAGGGAAGGAAGGAGGGAGGAAGGGAGGAAGGGAGGGAGGGAGGGAGGGAGGGAGGAGGGAGGAAGGAAGTGAGGAG